CAACATTATTTTTCTTAAAAATAAGAGACCAGAAGATTAAAAAGGTTTCATCATTATCAAGCTTGGTACATGTTACGCATTGATTCACAAGGTTTCAGTTGCACCATCCAACAACTGATGGTTACTTATAACCCATTCAATCTGCTTAATAACCCAGGCAATCTTAACATGTATTCGCAAATGCAACTAAAGCCTGACGGCCACCATATTAACTTGCTATTTTATTGGCAACTCATTTAAATATGCCACTATTCTTTCATATTTCAATGAATTGGTGATGAGTAGTAGGTTAATTCGGCAGCCGACAGGCGTTAGTTGCATTCTCGAGTACGAACTTAATAGACGTTATTTTGTTGAATTATTTCCCATTTATTAACTAGAATACCATTAAAGATATATCCACCGGTCTACTTTGATAAGCATGACCAGTTATAATCGTCTGATCATGATCTATATTATGACATGTACCAATAGGACAACTGTAATATCGACAGTGATATAACAATGCCTAATCTTCCATATGACCTAGTTTAAATTACATCCATAAAGCGTGCAAACTCTGGGTAGACGTTGTTATTCCTAGTCGTCTCAGGAACACAAAACTACTACTATTATCTTGATTGAACATTCTTTTATTATTGATTTCCTAATAAAGAATATTGTACAAATTAAATGACATGATGTGGAAAACACCCCTTTTGGGAATATTATCAACAAAATACGTGTTTATTACATTGATTGATTTAAGTCGCTTACCCCACCCCTACCCCTACCCCTCTCCGCATCGTGGTGCAGTGAAATCGTAATTTTACTGAGCGGCTCAGAAAAGGCCTCCTAAACTTTACATGACAAAGGTGCTAAGCGTGATAATTCACCTGTTCGACTGACCAAATACCCGTAAACTCATATATTAAAGACGTACACGTACATATCCATAAAATTGGAAACCTTTATGTCATGTTTATTCAATCAAGCGGGTATTAAGTAAATACGATTGGGTGATTATTGGGAAATGAAGTATGTTATTCTGGCTGCATCAAAGTCCTGACTCAAGTCATTGGATATAATAATCATTCTCAATTCTATCGCTATGTTGTTGAAAACATCTGCGAAGGAAAAGAAATACCACTTGACAACTCTTATAGCTTAACTCACAGAAGTGTCCCAAGTCTGCGTAGTATGGTTCGGTCTGTCCTATTATTTCAAGTGTTTTCCCCTCTGTAATATTTCCATATTTTCCCGATTTGAGGCCGTCAACTTACAAGTAGCCTAAAATTGATACTTTGGCCCATATTATAAAAAAGCAAAAATCATATACCAAATCAAAGACAAGACATTAACATGACAAAATGTCACCACCTAGTTGCTGAGAACTTAGATGATTGTGAAAAATAGTATAGTTTCCATATAGCTTTTGAAATCTCGCTTAATCTCGTTTTTCGTGAGATTTTAAGAGACTTGCATATTAGACTCTAGCCCAAGTTAAAAGCTGAATAAAAGATGGCAGCACTAGATTTCATTGATTTTTCTGCTATTTAGAAACTATCCTATTGGTCAACTTGAAGCAAGTTGGAAAAAATACCTTTTTGGCCCTTAGAAGGTCATTGAAGGTGAAATCTCAAATCTTAAGTCAGATTTGAACTTCTGATCGAGAACTTGTGGATGATTTTGAAAAAATTGTCAATTTGAGGCAAGTTGACAAATTACTTTTTGACCTTAAGAAGAGGATTGAATGCCAAATCTTTTTTTGACCTTGAGAATGTCATTGAAGGTCAAATCTATAGTCAGATTAGGACTTTTGAGAACTTGTAGATGATTTTGAATAAACGATTGTCAATTTTAAGCAAGTTGAAAAAAGATCTTTTTGACCTGTTTAAACCTTTTTGTCCTTGAAAGTTCACCGAAGGTCAAATTCTAAATACAAATCAGATTTGAACTTCTGAAAACTTGTAGATGATTTTTAAATCGGACGTCCGTCTCAACAGTGTATGTTAAGTTGTTGTAAGGATTTGTTACAGACGCCAACCGCCGATCACCGTGACAAAAACGGAAACCATATTTTTTTTATGTCACCAATTTTTGATGGTGACATAAAAAATAAACATCTAAGAGCGGTGATTCCAGGAAATAACTCCCATATATCCCAACGTGGGCAAAGCTGGGGGGGGGGGGCGATGTGTGCGATTGCAATTTTGTAAAAGGATAGGTATCGATATGGAGAACTGAATTCAACAATGTTTTTCTCTTAAACCAATCATTGAAAACATTCTGTAAAAAAACATGGTATTTTATGTAATGTTGACTAATTGACAACAATTTAATGCGAAAATTATTTAGAAATATTTTATATAACTGTTTTTGTTAACATTTTTTGTTTTTTTAGTGCAATTGTTTTTGCTCCTTTCTACCAATTCTTGAGAATGAAATAAAAAGTCTTTCCGAACCTTGTTGGAACAAAATAGCATATTCAACATGTTTTTAGACCTCTCAATATTATAGTTATACAAAGGAATTTTTGGTTGATTTTAAAAAAAGTATTCAAAAAATTAAAACAAAATCCCCCCAAAATAGATAAAAATCAAGATAATCCTTTTATTTCATTAACAAGATACTCTTTTAAAATCAACCAAAATTTTCTTTGTACAATTACAATATTGAGAGACCTAAACATGTTGTGTTTATGTCGTTTTGTTCCAATGAGGTTCGGAAAGATGTTTCATTTCACTCTGGAAACATGATACCAAGAATAAAACAAGTGTTTGATGTGTTTTTCTCTTAAACCAATCATTGAAATGCTAAGAATGCACCGTACAAAATGTAAATTGCTCTGCGGGTGAACCCCAATACCCCCCTTTTTGGGGCTCACCCCGCTCGTAGTGATGCAAACCCCCCATTTGCTGGCTACGCCCCTGCCGAAAACATAAGTGTGTAGTACACAACATTTTTATTACAGATTGAGCTTAACATATGCTGCCAATAAAGCAGAAAGTAAAATTACATATCTATTAATAAACGCTTCATAGCTGATTTCTATCTTAAATATAAAAGTCACGATGACTTTTATTTCATTCTAGCACATCAATGATCAGGATGATCCATCTTGAAGTTCTTATGTTCTTAACCTTTAAGTTCCAACCTATTCATAAATTGAAGTTCATGGAAAAAACTTGTCATACAATACCAGGCCTTGATCGTGCCGTTTTAGATTACTCTATGTTGAACGTCGCATCAGCTAATCAGGATTTATGGGAAAACCCACTCAACTCTTCAGCTTTGTATAATTACATTCAGCAGGTGTCATTCAATGCTTTTTACGCATCCCTTTGATCACGTTGTTTAAATTGACTTGCAATTCTTTACGTAATTTTATCTAATATAGTTCTAGGTCTTTGCATTTGTTCTTGTGTTTTATAAGGTGCTAGGTGTCATAACCTTGACAATGCCCTCTTAAAAATTAAAATTAACCACACGTGTTACTGATTACAATATTTTGCAGCGAATGTCTATAAATCAGAACGGTGAATTCTTATTGATAACTTCGTAACATCATGTTTTAGCCATGATTATTTCAAATTCGCGTTTTGTAAGTTCAACACATTAGATTTTGACATTGGAGACTTTAAGCAATGCATATCAAATCGAAACGTCAACCTGTACGCACAAGTTGCCCTAGATACTAATGCATGTACATATTTTCAGTGTTTACTTAGTCCGTTACGTAGGCTAAACATCATCGTGTAATATGCCACTGATAGTTATCCAGCTAGTTTTAATTTTCTATGATACATATTTTAAACAAGCTCGTTTTGTTAGATATTTGGAGCTAAAACATGTGTGACACACATCATTTTCATCAGAGAGCATTATATAGTGTGCATTGAAATCAAAATTGCCAGCATAGTATTCAACAGCAGTGGCGTAGCAAGGATTTTACAGAAGGGGTTCGAATATTTTCGGCAACATTTTTTTGGAGCCACCTAACGGTAAAGGAGTGGTATTGATATGGTGAACTTTTTGAACACGCGTTTCTCTTAAACCAGTCATCAAAACATTCTGAAAATTTTACACATTGTCAATTTAATGGTCATCTTTTGGATGCTCATATTATAATTTGAATTATAAATATATATACTTTTCTCTATGTTGATTTAGAAAACACATCAGACACTTCTGTCGTTCTTGGTATCATATGTTCGGAATGAAATGAAACATCTATCCGAACTGCATTGGAACAAAACAACATAAACACAACGTGTTTAGGTCTCTCAATATTGTAATAGCACAAAGGAAAGTTTGGTTGATTTAAAAAAGTATCTTTTTAATAAAGTAAAAGGTTTATCTTGATTTTTATCTATTTTGGGGTAATTTTTAAAAATTTTTGAATACTTTTTTAAAATCAACCAAACTTTTCTTTGTATAATTATAATATCGAGAGGTCTAAGAAAATGTTGTATATGCTATTTTGTTCCAACAAGGTTTGGAAAGACATTTTATTTAATTCTCAAGAATTGGTAGAAATGAACAAAAAACAGTTGCACTAAAAAACAAAAAAATGTTACAAAAAACAGTTATATAAAATATATATAAATAATTTTTGCATTAAATTGTTGCCAATCAGTCAACATTACATAAAGGACCGTGTTTTTCACAGAATGTTTTCAATAATTGGTTTAAGAGAAAAACGTTGTTGAGTTCATTCACCATATCGTTACCTATTCTTTTCGTAAAATTCAAAAAAGAAAAAGTTTTCACCAAAGTCTGGTTAATTAAGCTGGTTCCAATCATTTTTAAGTTTTAAAACTGGTGCTTTAGAGAGTCTCATTGAAATATTTCTTGAACTATTTCTTAAAGCCTCAGTCGCATTTGCTCTATGGCGGCCGTACGGCGGTCGTAGAAAATGTACGTTTTACTGCTTATCCCTGAATATTAGGTTAAATGTTATAATTATTGAGGCATTAATTTCACTATTTGTTTGACACTAGATTTAAATTCGTTTTGATATGTTTCAGAGTGGCGGACGAAGGCTGCAATAAAAATACCGTCTTGTTGAATCCTCAGTCTACAAGGAATCGTCAGATTATATCTATCCGAAAACGAGGATTTTAATTATCTTTCTTTCGAGGTGGCGAATCAGCCGATGTAGCCTAATAAGCGTAATCAAAGATCAGCACGTTAAAGAAGCTTCTCAGTGCCACTTGATGAAAACCTCGAGCATCGTGGAAGGTACCGAGAGATACAATCAACTGATGGAGATCTATTATATTCTGCAGTATTCTTCCCGACACTGGCTGAAAAATCCAATAAAACATTGATTGTAGATTTCCGCGTCATTCAGAACGTCTTTACGCGATCCAGAGGGCCGACGAACCTTCAGTTATTCAATCACATTTCACAATTTGTAATGAATCGTACGTGCGACTAATACAATGCATAACATTTATTAAAAGAGACAAGGAACGTCCAAATTAATAGATATCACATTCTTGTTGTATTCATAACAACTTAATCAATAGGAGCTGAACTTATATTCAACATGCGGGTCATTTTCGCATTCACTTACGGCACTGCAACTTGGGAATAATAAGTCGCACTAAGAGTGCTACCTCTACAACTAAAGGAGTCATATGCTAGATATCTAAAAATAAGAGTTAAATTTGAGGCATGGCAAAGTCTGATGTAATTTAATGGAATGATAAATATGAATGCTAATTGGATTGCAAATTCTAGGATAAATCAAACTACCGTCGGCATTTCTTTGAAAATGTAGTAATATACTGTAATAATGGGCTCCTGAAACTCTCGTGGAACACAATACCTCAAGATACAAGAAAAGCTACCGTGGTGCTTCGTACACGTAGGTATCAAGCTTAGTAAAAAAGCTTAATATTACCACAGAGACACAATACGTAACGTGCTAGTTCAAGTGAAGTTCAACCCATATGGAAGACGATCTACATAGAAAAGTACATACTACAAATTAAATTTCTGACGACAATCCGGTGCATGCACCTTTTAAACTTCTGAACTTAGAATACGTCAAACGAAGAAAGTCAGTCGTATTCACACTATAATCTTTAATCGGGCACACATGGCAAAACTACATTATGCTACATAAATATTATTTATTAAAGCTGCAAATGAGATAAAATATAAAATGGATGAAATGAATGAACAGGAGTTTACTTCATTAGACAGCTATGATAACTTGACCATGACGTCAGTTCCGGTCAGCCTAAGCACTGCTGCAAGTATTAGCGTATTATACGAAATATATATGAACGTTGAGTTTAACGTGTATGGAATAGTATTACCTATCGTATGTATAGTTGGAATAGTTACAAACATACTCAACCTGCTTGTTTTAACAAGACCTTTGATGCGAAACGCGACCAACAAGTTTCTTTTAGGACTGGCTGCGTGTGATTTAGGCGCTCTGACAATCCTGCTCATATATTATATATATTTTTATTCATTAGGGAATGGTGCTAAATTGAATGATGATGGCGACTGGTTAACGATTCCGTTTCCATGGAGACTATTTTATCACGTACACACTATTCCCACCAATATATTTGTCACGGCCTCGAACACGCTCATCCTAGGAGTAACCGTATTTCGCTTCTGCGCAGTAAAGTTTCCAATCAAGGCTAAAAAACTGTGTACCAATCACCGGGCTAAGTTATACATAGTCGCTACACTTATATGGGCGGTGATCTTAAACAGTCCTGAATTTTTTCAAAAACATTTGGTATGTGCCAAATCTGAAAATATAATAAACGGCACCATCTATTCTACTTCAATATGGAAACTGAATTCAACTTCGATATACTACAATAGGTTATTTCAAACGATATATTATCCTACAAAAACTGCACTGAATATTCTGATTCCTTGGCTAGCTTCACTTATCTTGACTGTTATATTGATTCATTCATTATGGGCAAACGTCCCGGCTAAAAAGTCTAAAAACACACGGCTACGAAGACGATCTGATCAGCTCATTCAGTCAAAGCTCACGGCGATGTCGAAAATGCGCAAGAATTATTACATAACCTGGACCCTGATTGCTGTTAATTTTTGTTTTTTGATTTGTGAAGGACCATCTGCAGTTTTCTTTATGCTTATCATCTCCTTGGATAGAGAAGAATTATACAAAGGGGAATATTCTATAGCGAGAGTGTTTATTGATATGTTTCTTGTCATGAACCTCGCTTTGAATTTCTTTATGTACGCCATGGCCAGTCGGTCGTTCCGTCAAGAACTTACACGTTTATTCTATAATTCCCCACTATTAAGAAGATACGGAAGTTTAGTGCAGAATGGATCAAGCTTTAGGAGCTCAAGACACCTAACTTCGAGCATAAGGAGTACAAAATTAGTACATCAGGGAAGCTACAAGTCTCAACAAAGTTACCATTTGTGAGAATATGGCCCTCCGGCGCATTTATTTCGTAAAAAACGGCTCGGCTTTAAAGAAACAGAATCGTTTAGTGACGAATGGGAGTGAATTTTAAGATATTATAGTTTATGATCACGGCCTTCTTTGTCGTAACTTTGAGTTTACGAAAATGTCCAGATGTTCTGACTTTATTTAAAACTTCCGACATTATTTGTATTCTGTAGAGAGAGCTTAACAAAAATTTCATTAAGGCCTTAATTAAGCGTTTAACAAAAATTTCATAAAGGCCTTATTTAAGCGTTTAACAAAAATTTCATTAAAGGGTTCCGATTAGCATCCCGTATAAAAACAATATGGCGGCTCCAGGCGAATCAACTGGATCAGTCCATTTTTAAGAAATAAGGGGAGTTCTGTAAAATCCAGTTTATTGAAATTGTCTTTGAGATAAAGTAATCCGTTTATAATGATTTTGAAAACGTTATCCAAAGAGTGATTGCGTTCAAAGAATACATGTACAGCAGCCAATATAAATCCTTGTATTAGAAACCGGTTTGTCTTGCTTTGTTTCATTTGTGGGATATTTCATATGCCAAGCTGTGTGCTATTACGTTATGGGGAAATTTAGATGCCAATTTTTCCTTATTGTACACAAATAGAAGATCCTGAAACTTCACCCATAAATGTGGAATTGATTTGACAAAACAAAAATCATCCTTCTATAAAAGTGTGACGATCTATAATATACTTATGCTATATAACAGTTAGAGGTGTTGACACAACAACCTCGAACCTGTGAACCCTTGAGTATTATTCCGGGATCGGGCCTTTTATACTAAACGGTGAGCAACACCAGAAACGAGCGTTCGATTTGCTAAACGATATGCGTCACCCTTTAAGGGCCTTATTTAAGCGTTTATGTTCTATAAAGGAACCCATTTTGTACTATTGAAAATGGATCCAAGGAAGATTGGATCCCAGGGACGCAACTTGATATTCGACCTTGCCATTTGACCTTGATCGATTTAAATAATTTCTAACATTATAACACTATAAATTCAAAATCAACAGTCCAAAAGAATCTTGTCCACTTCTTGTGTGTTTTGGAATTTTTTGTGTGGAAATAGGCCTAAGACCAAAACTCGCGATTCAAATTCGGAAATGAACAAAATGGCGGCTGTTTGAATTTCAAATTTTGAAATTACGTACTTCCTAGAATATCGAGTTGGAGCCCCTGGAGCCAATTCACATTGGATTCTACCAATACTCTCCCACATGAATCTACTTGTTGAGACTCGATGAACTTAAGTTCTTCTGAGATAATTATGATTTTGCATTTATCCCTATGGAGACATACATGATGATATCCCGATGCTAAGCCATTAGTCAATGATGTAGATCTCCATGTTAAGTCAATGCCCCCTAATTTTCTCAGAAGAACTAAAGTTGATCGAGTCTCAACAATTCATATGCATTATATTTTATTTACCACCGATGGGGTAAGCAATACATCTTGGGTATATCCCGTAATTTACGCATGTGATCCTGAAAGACAGACCCAGGAACCCCTCCTTGAGGTAGCCCTCTCTCATTTTATGTGCACGCTCACATGGACATACAAGTACACACCACAGCCTTTTGTCGTGGACTACTCAGTCAAACACCCTGAATTGAAGTACTTTACGACAAGCAATTGCAAAGTGCCTAAGTCGGGGATCGAATCCGGGACCTAAGCGTAATTGGTACACGTTCTACCGCTGAGCTCCACACATGGACTTGTAAAGTGTTCCAAAACATAGAGATGAGAATATATGTAATTCCAAGTCCCTTTATGGCGCTAGAACCAACAAAATGATTACTTTTACATGATAGAGACTGAGGTAGGAACAATCGAAACTTTGTGAATAATCAAGATGATTTTGTCGATGTAAAAGAGAATATTGTATCCCGGAATATATTATCCTTATTTGTATTGATACCTAATGCACCCAAGCCCAACTGTGTGTGTGACCAATACATTGAATTAGGTCGCAATCTAATTATATTGACCTGGACACCGGGTAATTTTCAACTTTACTTTTATATCTCCTAGTAACACGTACATGTATAGACATCTATATAGCTACAATATTCAAAAATAAGTAAATGAATAAAATAAAGCACAATATCAAAATCATCTTCATAGTTTGTTTTACATATATAGGTTATTTACTGGGTGGGATTGAATATGGGTTTTATTCCGAGGGACAATTTGATATTGACCGAAGGATAATATGATATTGCCCAAGGTCAATATCATATTTTCCGAGGAATAAAACCCATATTCAATCCCGACCAGAAATAACCTATTTATTCCATAATACATTCCTCTAACTTGTTACATTTTGATAATACTTTTATCAATTAGCCAAGGTTAAAAAATATCCGGGAAACCAAAAATAGGTTAATACGTTTCAATGCGATTTTTTCCCGGGTACAATACGATTTTTCATGTAGTACGCTCCAATACGATTTTTTTCCCGGGGACAATACGATGAATGCCACCCATTGGTTTTGGGATTTCTTTCTCAATAATGAATATCCATGATTTTTATGTGTAGAATGTAAGTATAGTGTTCAATGAAAGAAAGATCGGTATGCTTCCAAAGCATCAACAACTTGCGGAGGTATACTGTGACACAAAATCACTCAAAGATATAAAATAGAAATCTGTCGTTTTTAGATTAACTCAATGAGTGAGTCAGTTTATCAAAGGATCTTGTACACCTGCCATTATGATCTCCCCATGAACAAAAATAAATTTATCTGATTTTTCAAAATAAATATACTGCTTTTATTATTACATTTATATGTACACTAGTATCTTGTTGACCTATATTCAGCATTGTATTGATGAATGGGCCACTTTTTAGGGCAATATTCAATCATAAAGTGTACAGGGGTATTTTATAGATGCCAAACCAGGAAGTCTTTTTGTGTCTGTCAAAATCCATTTGCATCCTACACATCCCTACATCTTATCAAAATATGTTATTAATTAATGAATCATAAAAGTATTATCTTTGGATTTACAAAGTTGTATGGGATTTCATAAGTGTAAAAGTTGCTTTTGAAGCATTTTTCTATAGCCATTTTGTAGGAAAAAAATGATGAAAAAAATGAATAATCTTTTAATTTGAAGTATGACCTGAATCGATTGCAAACTTTATATTTGCACATCTGATCTGAAATACCATTTGTGTCATATTGTGAAATTATTTAATTTGCAATCGATTCAGGTCATAGTGTATTTTAGGTATTTTTGTGAAAATCAATAGAAACCAATGGCCTCCATTGGAATCTGATGGTATCCACATGTTAAGTCAATAGAACCTATCCAATGTCAAGTCAATACACCCTTGCTGAACTTAATGACCCCAACCTCAGCCCATGTGGGGCCAAACGCTTAAATATTTTCCAAAGCATTATGTAACATTGTATTCTTTATATTACACCTAAAAATGATTCATTTTGTTCATGGGGAGATTATAATGGCAGGTGTACAAGATCCTTTTACAAAATCATTTAAACAAAATGGGAAGATATGACATTAAAATGATAATATGTAAAAGCAATCTCGAACTCAACCTATGACTAAAATCCCAATTTCATCGAGAGCATACCTGGACGGAAAACGTGATACCTCTAAATCTCAAAGTTGTTGATGCTTAGCCTTTACAATTTAAACAGTCTTTCGTTCTCTGAACACTCTATCTACAAAAATGAAGGCATATATTTTGTCATCATTTTGAAAGTTATTCCAAAGTTAGCGGGTGGCATTTTTCTGTCACCCTGTATTTTCCGTCAGCTGTTGGCAGGGCAGTTTCTTGCACGTCTGAATCTGATTTCTTATTCTAACAAATTATAATAATAATGGTCCTAATTTAACACCGATCAATGTAGTCTACCTATATACTATGTAAACTGAAAGCAACATATGTGAATCTAAAGCTATAAATAAAATGTTCAAGGCATTAACTCAAGCATTGTTTTAACACACCTGCACTTAAAAGGGGAATTTATTTTGATACTTGAATTTGTGCCTTGGTTTCAGTGACATATTTAGTCCCTGATCTGGACCCTCTGAAAAAAAGTTTTGTTGTCCGGTACTTTCCCACATGAAATCATTATACCGTTTGAAAGAACAGACTTCCCTCTTAAAGAAAACACCTCTTCTATTGATGTAAACAGGGGCAAAAGGCACCAAAACGGGGTTAGACAAGGTGGCATTCTGATATCTCACTTTCTTGTCATCTCGATTCCAGGTAAACCATCAGACGGATTTACTTCAAATTTTCACACATGTTACATGGTAAGAAGTTCTAGAGCTGATTAACTTTGCGGCGGCCATCTTGCATTCCGGCGGCCATCTTGAAATTTTTTTAAGATAATATTGTCATCGCGATTCCACAAAAACCACTTAACAGATGTACTTCAATTGTTCACACATGTTACATGGTAAAAAATGTCCTAGACCTCATTATTTTTTCGGTGGCCATCTTGCATTCTGGCAGCCATCTTGGAAGTTTTAAGGTAAATCTTGTCATCACGATTTCAGGAAATCCAAACTGATTTACTTCAAATTTCCACACATGTTACATGGTAAGAAAATATAGAGGTGAATAACTTTTCGGCAGCCATCTTGCATTCTGGCGGCCATCTTGGAAATTTTGGGATAAATCTTGTCATCGTAATTCCAGGAAAACAACCTAACAGATTAATTTCAAATTTTCACACATGTTACATGGTATGAAGTTCTAGAGCTGAATAACTTTTCACTAGCCATCTTGCATTCTGGCGGCCATTTTGGAAGGTTTATAGATAAATCTTGTAATCAAGATTCCAGAAAAACCACTTCACAGTTTTACTTCGAATTTTCACACATGTTACATGGTATGAAGTTCTAGAGCTGACTATCTTTTCGGTGGCCATGTTGCATTCCGTCAGCCATCTTGGAAGTTTTTAGATAAATCTTGTCATCATGATTCCATGAAAACCACGTAACAGTTTTACTTCAAATTTTCACACATGTTACATGGTAAGAAGTTATAGAGCTGATTAACTTTCCGATAGCCATCTTGCATTCTGGCGGCCATCTTGGAAGTTTGTAGATAAATATAAAATACAGTCAAAGCATTTACCACCAACAAAGGATGCTCTCATTCTCCATATAAATAGAGCCAACTATCAGGCCTATATTTGGCGAAACGCAGGCAAATCAATGATTGATTATCAATCCCCCACATTACATGGTTGGACATTCAAAGGGAATAAACTACAAATTAAGTGGATAGAAAACAGTCCTGCCCCACAAGAAATAATGGAGCTTGTTGCTTGTAGTTGTAAAGGAGCGTGTGACTCAATGAGATGTAGTTGTAAGAAACAGGATCTCATTTGTGGAAGTTCATGTAAGTACCGCAAAGGTGTGTGTGAGAACTGTCCAACCCATCAGCATGATGATGTTGCTGAGAGCGACAATGAATTTGAACCAGTTGATGACACCATTACACCAAACGTTGAAGATCAGGAAGAAAATGAATTACCTGAAAATCTCTTACCTGACAACTGGATGAACCAACTT